TGGTAAGAATATAAATGCTACCATCAATAAACCACAAAATATTGGAAAGACAAGATACAATGCCACAATGTGAATTTCATCTACCTCAAGTAACTGAATCAATAGCTTATGTGAAAATCAAAATCAAGAGTATTACTTGAAAACATTCACCTCCACAATATCCCCTACATTTCACAATAAAAATTTAACTATCAGTGGTTTTCCTTAGTTGAACGTGTTCTAAAAAGGCATATATATATATATATATATACATATATATATATATATATATATATATGATAAAAAGTTTCACCACAATAAAAACCAATTTGGTAGATAAAGTTCAGAAAAACAAGGTACGATATAATAATATTTAATAGTGAATGTATAGGAGTTTTGAGGAAATTGATTAAATGAAAAAATCAAGTTCAACAGTTTGAGAATATATTAATATGCCACACTAATCTATCCTTGCTCTTAAACTCTGTTGAGAATGTTAATCTACCAATGTCAAATTTTCAGTTGCACTATCTAGAAATTGATCTGTTTAACCCTAGTTATACTATTAATTTATCACCAAAATTAGCCTCAGTGAATGGGAAAATGTTTTCAGATTGCATTCTCTAAGAGACATAGGAAACGTATTAGGAAAAAACATGCACAATAAAATATATTCTATAATTATAATTAAAACAAAATAGCCACTGAAGCCAATGTAATCTTAGTTACTCAGAAGGCCAAGATCTGAAAATCATGGTTTGAAGCCAACGTAGGTAGAAAAGTCCATGAGACTCTTAGCTCCATAAACCATCAAAAAGTCTGAAGCAGAGCTGGAGCTGAAATAATAAGAGCTAGACTTGAGCAAAATTATTCAGTAATAGTGTCCAGGCTGAGTTCAAGTCCCAGGATCTACCCCTCCCATCATATAGTATATTTTAAACATCTGTGTAAATTTTGTAAGTTCTTATATACACAAAAAAATGTTTTCCTCCTTTGCAAAGCTATTCACATGAAAATAGCCTGAGTAACAAGAAATCTATACACACATCAAAAGAGATGAATATTCTTTTCAGCAGAACCAAAATGAATAGGAACATTACTAACCATAGCATGTAATAGTCGTGCTGAAAACACAAAACCTGTAGTGCCTAGAAGCGGGCTTTGCAATGGAACTTTGAATGGATTAAATAAAAAGTATGTGAGGAACCAATTAATAAATTAATATGTCTTGTCTTCCTGACCTTACCATTTATATTGGAAATGGAGGGCAGCCTACAGGAACAGGATTTAGGCCAGACAGAATTTAGTGATGCTTATACTTTTGAGAATAAAAGATAACATAAATTTAGAGTCGAAGTATTCTGTGAATCTGGCAATATTTCTCCATGTTTTGAAGCAAGCAGAAAATAAAATGCCTACAACTGAATATGTAACATTATCTCTTAGGAAATTTGCAATATCAATATTTACTTCTTGTGTGAACTCCAAAAAGTACTCAGTCTTTTTCAATTTAGTAGTAAGTAAAACAGCCTCAAGACATAAGATAATAAAGTGCTGACTACTTAACAGAATGTAAGCAAAATCTCAAAAATGATACCTAAGATTATAAAATTAAAAGTTAAAATATGGTGCATAATTAGAAATTCTATATTACAAGTTTTTAAGTATATATGTAGAACAAATATGTTCAGGGTGATCAATTGTAAAAGTATATAACTAAATGGAAACTTTATTCACTGCCACCGATTCTGTAATTTATCCAGAAATATTCTGGGAAATTAATACAGTATTAGTTTATTTCTTTGTCCATAAAATTAAAGATATATAAGATCTGCAGTTTGTAAAAAAAAATCTCATGACAAGTTGACTGACATCACTTCCAAAGACAGAACAAAATGGAGATTTGTAAATTTTTAATTTGTCAAATGGAAAAAGTTCCTGAGCAGGTTGAAGATTAACAGCAAGTTTGTCTTTAGGTACTCTTTTTACAAAATGCTGTGCTTAGTAGGCATAATATTATATCGAGAGGATTGTATACTTTGATGATCTCAATATGAGTGGCAGAATTGTTCTTGGATTTAAGCTAAAATATTAATCAATGTCACTGAACTAGGGACTGCAATAACTTTTTATACAGTGTTGGCAGTTCTATGTTTTACATTAATCTCATGAACTTTTTTGAAGTTTATAAAATTATTTTTCAATAAATATGAATCTTAGTGAAATCAAAACATTCATCATTTTGTAAATGAAATTAATTTGCTCTTTTTGGGGGACAAATCCAAATACTTTCTCCCCAAGTAGCTTTGTTACACTTTCCCAAAGTAATAAAATGAAAAAAGATCCTTTGTGATATTATTCAAATTCTTTAAAACTATTACACCTTATGAAATCTAAAACTGTAACATTTTAAAAGTCAAATTCAAGAATGTCAACAATCAAATATAAAATAAAATAGAAACAATGTTGTATTATTATTCCATGATTCTGAGATTAAAAGCATTAGCCAGGTGGAAAACATAGGTTTTTATTTGGCAATTCTAAATTTAAAAATATAAATTGAGAAACTTGTACTTTTCAAAGTGTGTTATATTATCTTCAGGTAGTTGGTTTCTTATTAAAGTTGTTAATTCATAGAGCATTAAACCTAATATGCTACTTGTATGCTAATTTTAGTTGTGAATGAATTATAGTTTATAGTAAGTCTTCATAGCACTGTATGTACATTTTAATGATCAGTATAGACATTTCTTTTAACAATTAAAATCATTCCTTTAGGAAGATGTCTAAAACTTTTTGTATTGTATTTAAAGACACACATAAATTTCATCATCTTCAACAACAAAACTTATCAAAAGGTGTCTTGAAAACACATATATGTTTTTGGTAAAGAAATTGTTCAAACATAGTTTGATGATCATCTGAAAATATGCATGACTTAGTAGGAATTTCACACACAAGTAACACAAAGTTAGACTGTTTATAAACAACCTGAAAGGATTAGAACACAAAAGATTCCTAAATTTCCATCCTTAAGATTAATGAATATGATGTCAGTCATTTCAGATCACATTATTTGTTGTTTCTAACATTTGCCTATACTTACACTTATTAACTTCATTGAGATGGTTGCTGTTTGTTACTCATTTTATTTACAAGGTTACACTGGAAAAACTATGTTTAACCTACCTTTCCTAGACATTAGTGATAAAGAAATTATCAGCTTCAAACTTACAAAACCAGTCAGCAAAAGCAAATTCAACCACTGTCAGAAACCCCAAGATTCAATTAAGAATCAACAGTCATATTTTAACAAGTTGAACAACTAGTTTTCTATGAACGGTACTGTGTTTGGCCCCTACATTGTGAGAGTAACTAGGGACATGAAATCTTATTCAATAAGTTTGTCTTTTTGTTCTGAGTGAAAATTGAATTTTTTTCATCAGTGCTTACTTTTTTTAAATGAAAAGTTTTCCCTCCTCAAAGTTTTACCTTTCCACCTAGTTGAGTTCCCTAAGAACAGAATAGTATGAATATCTCCTTTAGATTGTTTGCTATTCTATGTAATACTCAAAGAAATCCAAACAAAATTTTCTTTTGTTCAGTAATAACAACAAATAACCACCTCCAGAATGACAAGCAAAACAAAAATTAGTCTTGCTTCTGAGTTTTAAGGGGCCTGGAAGAAGTGTGACAAGGAAAAACATGAAGACATGAGTGCATTCCATCAATGCTGGAATTCATTTAAAACTTCAGATGAAAATGTTCACTCCTTGGAAATCACACTACAGTTGTTTTGTGTGTGTGTGTGTGTGTGTGTGTGTGTGTAAAATGAATTTTAAGATATATAGAAAAAATAGATTAAGAATAATGTGTTTACTTTTGGATTTAAACTTCTACTCCAGTCAAGTTAAGAAAATACTGGGGAAAAAAAAAAGGAGGGGGAAAACTGCTGGCTAATGGTCCCAGACATTAGTGGATCCAAATTTGCACCTTCCCTTTGGCTCTACTGTCTGCAGTACGTGGCCCAATGAGACTTCAGCCTCCTTCTCTTCTCCCTTATGGAGATACCTACTTCTCCAGAGACACTAATACAGGACAGCTGGTCCTGGCAGGGAATTTAGGCAGCTAAAGGAATTTGCAATGAAAGTGGAATCCATCACTTTACCACTATTCTCTATGCTCTGCCCATCTTTTCCCACCAATCAGGAGTCCTTTTCCCTTTCCTTCTAGGATGCTGAACGTTGTAGCTCTGTGATCCAGTGAGAACCTTCTACCACTGTAAGTTGGGTTTGTCGAACACATTTCCAAGTGGCCTGAAGTGTGACCTGGGCACTGCCCGTTACACCCTAACCCCCAAACTTCATGGAGCGACAAGCTGAAAGTTGACAGGGTGGGATGGTGTTGGAATCATTCTGCTAAGCTGAGTACTGACAAATTCTCACTAGAGAAGTTTGCTGCCAACAGTCCTTCAAGGGAAGAGCCAACATGATAACTCCACCGAGCCACCTCCTCCTTCCCAGGAGCCAGGCACATGGCTCCCACTTCTGTCTCCCTCAGAGACTCCACATCCTCACTCACCTTCAGATGAACGAGGTGATAAGTGATAGGGTCTCTTAGGTATAGGATTTTTTCTCTCCCTCCCTCCCCCACCCCTTTTTCAAGAGGAACTATCAATACTGTTTCAAGCAAGCGACTGCGGTACTAATCTTCAGCCTTCTGGAGTGGGGTGGCAAGAGACCCAAGTTTTTTGGTTTTTTTTTTTGTTTTTCGGGGTTTTTTTTTTTGGAAGTGTCTGCCAAAGCCAGGAATCCCAGCATACCTAAAATGCCTTCATTTCCCCCGTCTACCCCCAATTCTCCTCACCCCACGCCCATCGGATAATGAATGAATATATTATAAACTATGCTGAATCGCAACACCTTCCAAACCTCACAGTAACCTCAATCCAACAAATGCCGTCTCTAAGATTCTTAAAGGAGAGAGAGAGAGAGAGAGAGAGAGAGAGAGAATGTGATTACCAGAGTTTTGTTCCCATTCTTGCTGAGAGGACCCCGGAAAACTCCCTTGATGTTGCGAAAGTGTCCGTTGCTGAGATGCGTGGAGCTGATGACAATGTAGTAACACTCCATGGGGCAGCCGCTGCCTCCTCCTCCGCAGCCGCAGCTTCCCCCGCGTCCCGCGCCCGCCTGCCCGC